TAGGTTTCAACATTGAAATAAGGGTGGAGGGGATTGATTTAAAAAGTCTCAATATATTTTGTGGACGATTGTAGGTATAAAACTAACGAAACTCCACAGAGCTGTTACATTTAAGCAGTCGTGTTGGCTCAAGGATTACATTGCCTTCAATACGAAAATGAGGTCAGCTTCTAAGAACACCTTTGAGAAGAACTTCTTTAAGCTCATGAATAATTCAATATATGGGAAGACCATAGAGAACTTGAGAAAGAGAGTTGATGTTAAACTTGTTTCATCAGAGGATGCCTTCTTGAAGTTGGTTGCCTCACCGTGCTTCCAGTCACATAGGATAATGAATGAGAATCTGATTGCAGTCAAGGGAGCAAAGAAAGTGCTAACCCTATAAGCCTTGCTACATAGGCATGTGTATTCTAGACTTATCTAAGACAGTAATGTATGACTTCCACTACAACACCATCAAGAAGGAGTACGGGGACAAGGCAAAGCTTCTCTTCACAGATACAGATAGCTTGATGTACGAGATTAAAACAGAGGACGTCTACAGGGACTTCAAGAGGATAGGTGAGGAGAAGGACTGCTGAAATAACTCAGATTACCGTAAGGATAGCCCCTACTACTCAGCTCATAATAAGAAGGTTATTGGCAAGTTTAAGGATGAGGCTGAGGGTGTGCCAATCACAGCGTCCGTTGGGCTGCGATCTAAGATGTACTCCTACACTAAAGAAAACGGCAAGGGTGGAATGACAGCTAAGGGTGTGAAAAGGTATGTCATCAAGAACAAGCTCGTCCATGATAACTTCAAGAATGTCATAGCTAAGAAAGATAGGATGAGACACAAGATGAATACAATAAGAAGCACCAAACATATAATAGGAACCTACGAAATTAAGAAGGTAACTCTAAGTTGCTTTGATGATAAAAGGTACTTGCTAGGTGATGGAGTTACCAGCTATGCATATGGTAACATGCAGGAGAATAGACAATGAAGACACTGTAGAGGTTCCGATCATAGAAGTATGTGACTCAGACAAATGGACACACATCCCAGAGGAATACATAGAGTGTGAGGAAAGATGTGAGTCAGTCGTATGTGAAAGTGAACCAGTAGTAAGGGTTGTTGTTGAAGAGGAAACAGTTAAACTAAATAACCCAAAGGTTGAATACATAAAACCACATGATCTGTTCTTTCTAAAGGTCATAACTTTTAGACGGGCTGAAAGAAAACTCAGCTATGCAAAAAGAACTGCTCAGCTACTAAGCTTCAAGTGGAGTAATGAGAAGATGACTCAGTACATGTCTGAGTCAGACAAGCCCCTTCTATGTGAGTTCACACGAGAGGAACTCAATAGGTGTCGTGAGGGACACAGGCCGAAGTGAGGATGAAATAGAAGAGGAGATAAGTAGAAAAGTTTACGAGAGCAAGGAGAAGCTGATAAGAATATACGAAGGTTATCTGGGAATAAGGGAGGATACAGGTGGTAATCCAATCAGAACTTACAGCAGATGGCTAAGGGACATTAGGGGATATAACGACGAAGATATAGAGATACTTGTTGATGAAGAGTTCGGTGACAAAGCTGACGATGACCACAATGACTGGGCCAACCTGGTGGATGATAAGGAAGAGGAACAGAGCAGGGTCGTAGCTAAGCATGTATAGTTGGGGGGGGGGGGGGTAGGCCAAAAATTTCCGAATGGCG